AAACATTTAAGGGGTTCTGTTTATAAAAAGCTTTTAAATTAAAATTAGAAAAACTAACTCATTAGAAGTAAAATAAGATTCTAAGCATTTTGTTCTAAGTAATATAAATCGAATTAAAGCTGGCACAGCTTCATATTAGTTCAATTGAAAAAGAAATAGATCTCTACTATATCCAAACTCTATTCATAAGTTTTTAATATTGCAATTAAAGAAAAAAGTTGAGCAATGAGCATAAACATACAGTAACTTTTTATGAGTTTTGAAGTAAGAATTTTGATATTTAAACWAAGAATATTATTTTTATTCAAATATACCTAACCTATTATTATAATTTTTTGTATATACATAATACAATTTTTTAAATATTTAGATTAAATTAATTTTAAGCTATTATCTGTTTACAGAGTGACTGCTACTAAGACATTTTGTGGCGGGCCAGGGCAACATTTTTGGTGAGGCTCTTCCACTAAAATTGTTTTATTTTAAATATTTTTTTTCAAGAATATAAATAAATTATTAYCATAACTCATATCTCATAAGCCTATAAGTAAAAATGTATATTACTGCATTACAAAAAAAAAATTTTGTCATACAATAACACTAATAACAGTATAATTAAATATTCTTTTTTTACATTATGCCAGAAGAATGGTGTTAAAGTATTGGCTTAAAGGTCGCCACACACTGCAACGGTAGCTGTGGCGGTCACGGCAAAATGTAGCCGGACTCAATTTTACCGCCACTGCGGTGGCACTGCCAAAACAAAAGAATTTTACATTGCCACCACTGCAGTGTGTGGCGACCTTTAAGAAGGAAAATATTTATTAACAGGCCTGAATATAATAACTTAAAAAAAAAGATGAATATAGAATTTTTAACTCACCAATAAATGACACATTAACAAATTTTGGGGTGTTTGGACATTGAATAGCGATTTTTGTAATAACTCCCAAGGTTCCTTCAGAACCAATAAACAAATGTTTCAAATGATATCCAGTATTATCTTTTTTTAATGTATTAAGACAATCTAAAACTTGTCCATCAGCCAAMACCTAAAAGCCATAAATTAACAATGCAATTATTATACTTAATTTAGTAATTATTTAAATTGTATAATTATAAACAAAACTACCGCTTGTAATCCCAATACGCTTCCTTGTAAACTTCCATATTTAATTAATCTTAAACCTCCTGCATTAGTTGCTAAATTACCTCCAATCTGACAGGTGCCTTTAGCACCCAAATCAAATGGCATTATAAACCCTTCGTTTTGAACATAATTCATCAAATTTTCTAATACACATCCAGCCTGACATACTAAAACACCTAAATAAACTCAATTTATAAAATCTAACTCAATGTTATTTATTCAATAAGTATAATTTTGGCATTAAATATTTATTGTTTATGTTTACCTGACAATTTATTAAAGCTAATAATTGAATTCATTGCAGAAGTGGACAAAATTACTTCATCAAAAACTGGAACACTACCACCAACAAGACCAGTATTGCCACCTTGAACACAAACTGCTATACTGYGCTTATAACAATATTTGAGAATTTTTGATACTTGTTCTGTTGTTTTTGGTTTAAGCACATACTTACTAAAACCTATGCATACAATTTATTTATTATTAAAATAACAATCATTGGCATTTTATATACTTACCAGAAACAGATTTTAACCAATCTTCATTGTAAGATTTTACTTCTTCACCAGTAATAAAATTGTTAACACCTAAAAGGTTTTTGAAATAATCAACATCTGTAGAGTCTACCGTAGCATATGGGCCTTTTTTTAAATAAGGAAATCTATCTTTGGTTAACTGAACATTTTTAAACAATGATGCCTTAGAGGAAAGCTTGCGAAGATTAAAAAAATTAAATTTCATTATAATAGTATTAAATTAATCAAATTGAAAACAATCAAATTAATTAACATACAATAAAATAAAGGTACATAATTTTTAGAAATTATTGAATAGTTTTTATGACGTCAGTTAATCAAACTTTTAAATTTTTTGTTAATTCCATATAGTTATAATGTAATTTAAAAAAAAAAAACTGAAACAAATATTTGCTAATGGTTTTTCATTATCGGACTAAAATATTTTCAAGTATCAGATTTACCAAATTAATTTATTATAGAATACGCTACACCTTAATAGTTGATGTACTATAGCCACAAAATGTATTACCTAGTATACTATTATCTAAGTAGCTTTTTATTGCTCGTAAAACGTGGGCATACGTAAACACGAACTTTATAAGTAAAATTGATAATCACTGTTCTCTGAGATAACGTTTGAATTTGATGTGTTTCAGTGCTTGAACTTTGAACTACAAGGAAACTAATAACGTAATAACTTAATTTTACAGCAACTTGTTGACCTTGGTTCGAAGTCGTGAATCGTGATATTCATTTTTTGCTAATAACAAAAACAATTTAGAATTAACAAGATATAAATAAAACAGTTTAACGGTATCAAGCATATTATCTATGAATTCTTATAATATAAGATATTATCATATAAACGTATAAACGTATAAACCCATAGATAATAAAGYACAATATATATATGTACGGTACTATAACAAYCTATACTATGAATAATAATAATAATAATAAAGCCCTTTTATRCCATTGATCTATTATTTTTATAATAGGCCAATGGTTTATACAGTATACACACTAACACACTATAAACAGTATAAACTATTGCATTTAAAATATATTATAATAAAATTATGGTTAGTTAGTTTATATGTTTAAGGTACCAAACTATCAAGACGTGTCAGAATTAAAAAAATATAAATAAAAAGAACAACTCTTAGTAGAGTACTATGATCAGTCTATGAATGGGCCCATGTAAAAATCGGGATAATAATTACTGGGACCCGTGTACTATTCTGGACAGAATATATCAAGGAATAACTTTGATGAATAAATGATAAGTTGTGGGAAGTATCATTTAAATGAATTAAAATATATAAATTGGGATACAAATTTGTTGGAATTAATATTGGGAAGGAACCGTACCTACTTTCCAGGGTAGATTTTCTCAGGAAAATATTACAGAATAGTAATAGTACTAGTCGGGAAAATATAACCAAAAAACAGCTGCTGTGCATTATCATTAATAGCGGTTCTATGGTAATATTAAATACTGATAGCATAAAATAAATTTATTTATTACATTTACTTAAAAAGTTAAAACTAATAAATAATAATAGTTATTAATTGTTAAATAATAATTATTAACTAAGTATGGCAAATATGCAACAAATATGTTTACCACTTTACATTGAGAATCTCACTATAATACAAATTGTACTATAATTTGTCACTGCAATACAAAAAAAAATCCTAGCAACTTAACATTAATCATATACTTTCATAATTAGAATGAGGGGAACCGCACAAATTGGACAGTTATTTTGAATCCCAGCCATTCTTCACATCCACATACAACTTTATGTCCGCAAGGCACAAGGCATTATAACATCTGTACTTGCTTGGTTACAAATTATGCAAGTTTRGTGGTTTGGTTGCAATGGTTCATTATGATTGTAATGTGCATCAGATAAATGCTGTCTCTCTTCCTTCCTTTCTGCAGCTATTATTTCTACATATTCTGTTTCAATTGGGTCCACATCTTCTGGAATCGCATAGTCATTTTCATTGTCTATAATACAAATTTAATGCATTTTTTGAATATAGGTTTTACATTTTAAAATAAGTATATTAAAACTGTAYCTAGCAAAACAAGWGGTTCTTGATGCTGCTGGCCTGATACATGAATCTAAAAAATTTTAGTTTAATAAAATTATGTTATGTAATATTTACTAAATTCAGTTTTATAAATAATATTATTACTTAATTCGTTTAGTGTGCTATAAACAAAACAGAAATTACTTAATAAATATTAGGTAACATATTTCATAAATGTATGCAAACTTAGATCCTTACTAGTAAAGTAGTAAATATTTTAATGTTAAAACTTAAAATAGACAAATAAAACAACTAATAGAGGTAATATAAATATAATTCAGGTTTCACTAATCAACCTCTAAACATTTCATAGAGTAAATTATATTATTTTACAAAAACTTCATAATTAAAAATTGGAATTTAGTCATGCTTACTCAAAAATGTCCAAAGGTTTGGATGCATCACTTGAAACTTATCTTTTAGACGTCCATGAAACGATTCAATTTTATTATTGGTACGCCTTGCTATTCTGTATACAGTACACGTGTACTGAAAGCAAATACTCACCTCCATTTTGATTATTTAACCAATACCT